AAAGATCAAAACACGTAGGACCAGTTGTGCCTAGTTATCATTCGAAGTAATGTTGTTGCCCATATTGTGCTTAAATCTTTTCAGACGTCCCCTGCTGCTCTATAATAATCTGTATAGGAGAGCATTGAGTTCCCGGAGCTCTGAAGCTGTAAAGGAAACAAAACTTCAGGCACGGAAAAGGGATCAGCCATGCAGAGAGAACCAGAGCAGGGCTGCCAGAGTCAGCAGGAGCACAGGTACTGAAAGAACGCCCCAAGCACCCTGAAGAAGGCTCGGAGAGTTGGAGAGGCCTCGAGATGCGCCACGGCCCTGGGGGCTAGCGCTGGAGCCCTTCGATGAAAACGCTAACGCCAAAAGGCAGGAAGGAGGGCTGCGGCCATCCAAGTGACACACGTGTGCACACAGGAGAACACTTAGACCTGTACTCTGAAAGAAGAAACTACACGAGATACAAAAGTGCTGGTCAAGAAGCTTTCTTAAAATAACCTTAAAATAACATTCTGGGGCACATACGATACACCAGGCACCATTCTGAGCAATTTATGTGCACGAACTCATTTCCACCTCAGCATAACTCGAAAGCGTTACTATGATTATTTTCTTTCTATGAGTAAGAAAGACATGGAACATAATTCATATTCAGCCAGTCCAGCCTAAAGCTATTCCTTTTACATACTACACTACATAGCCTCCAAATGAAAGCTCAAGTAACTGGCCAGGAAATAATAACTATTGTTTCTCTCTTCAGGTAAGTGAAAGAGAAACAGAGTGGAACTCTGGAGTCTATGGTGTTCAATAACAACATTCCTAATAAGATCTGAGGAAGCAACCCATTATATGTTTTAAGCTTCTATTTTAGGCTATTGGTTACTAATATGGTATAAACAATATAAAATAAAGAGCAAAAACTATAGTGTGCAAACAGTCTAAATTTTTAATTTTACTTGTTAAAGACATTGAGCCTCACTCTGAGGTAAAACACCATGCAGAACTTCAGGAATAAACAAGAATTATCTTTCTATATTAAAATAATATAATCAGAAAAAAGATAGCTTCTAATGAACCTAAAGTAAGAAAAATTGATACAGAATTGGAAAAACTTCTTAACATTCAGTTAGTAGTTGTTGAACATTAAAGGGTAATAAAGATAAAGCAGAAGGATTCTATTGAGAATATGTCTAAAGAATGTTCAATCTTCTCTCCTTATGAGCAAGAAAATGAAGTCATATAAACTATACTGACGATTAAAGTAGTTGGTTTAAAATCTATCATGCACCAGCGTTAACACTGAACTAGTTAGCACAGCCTAGTTAGAGAAATGGTTTATATCTACTTTGTCCAGTGTTTTGTTTTTAATTAGGAAAGGAAAAAAGATCTGGGATAACCATAATTATGTGTTTTTCTCCTCTGATCAATAGCGAAAGCCACCAAGAGCTGTCTAATTTCTGATGGCCCAGGGCCAGGGCACTTTCAGAGAGGAGAAAGCCCAGTAAGACGGGCTGCTGAGAAACACGGCCCGCTGTCTGGAATTTCGATCTGACTTCACACAAGTTTAGCCCCAACACTCGGCCACACTAGTGAAACAAAGGGCCAGCAGCCCCAAGTAGTGACTCCGAAGAGCTTGTTCACATCAGTCATTCCTTCCCTCGCTGATCAAAATTGGAAGAAGCATGCTACTTTGCCTTGAATCAGAGGAAGAACATTGGACATCTGAATGACTGGAACCACTGCTGTCATCTCCTTTTTATCATCATAAAACAAATAAGTAGGTTGCACCATTTTATTTCCTTTTGTGACAGTTCTCAATGAGGTAAAAACCTGGGGATAGGGCAGGAAGGATTCAGATAAGACAGTCCAGTACAGCTAACCTAGTTCGGAGACCATCCTACTCCAAGCAGCCTTAAATGTTCCACATGCTCCAGGTACAATTGGGAGAAAGAGCAACCCTCCGCACTGTACAGTACTTAAAATCTCACAATCCGCTTTCGTACTGTTCCTGGTTAGGGGACAGCGTCACACAGACACCAGCAAACAGACCAGAGGATGTTATCCTTTTACTTTGAAATGTTTGAAATCTCTCTCTTACAAGAAAATAAAGCGCCAACTTCTTTGCATAGGATGTGAAGGACTTTGTGCATGGATTCAGCGGAAGGCACTACGGATTTGGAGGAGAAAGCCCTCTGGGGAGGAGCAACCTCTACGGAACTTGGGTAAAGAGGAGAGGCGCTCAGGCCGACAGCCTGCACCAGCACGCAGCCTAGACAGTGGAAGCCTGTGATGCGAACAGGCAAGCACGGCAGGGCGTGCGCGCAGAAACTTAAAATGTGAGGGAGGAAACAGCCACTGAAATTAGAAAGAAATGTGGAGTGTACCCAGCAACGGCCCATTACAGACATTCCTCCAGGCTGCCGTGTTTCAATTCAAATAATTTTAGAGAACACATTTTCTGTTATTTTTATTTTTAAAGAACTATAAAATAATGTGTGTATTTGTACATATTATATTTTAAGTATATGCCAAACCCCGCAATTAAGAATAATATCCCCTGATCCCTTTAATTAACACCCATACTTTGAAAAACAACTACCATAGTAGGTATATTCTTTCAGAATTTCTTTTTTTTTTTTCTCGCCCCCCCTCCAGTACCGGGAATCAAACTCACAACGTCTCGCTTGCCAGGCAGGTGCTGTGCCACTGAGCTAAATCCCCAGCCCCTATTCCTTCAGAATTTTAGTATGTTTTACATTCACAAATACGTACTACCCACAAAATACATAGTACAGTCCCATATTCAAGTGTTCCCATGTAAATGGTACACTTCAGCTTCTTTTACTACTAGTCAATGTTTTGCAGTCCATCTATCTCTGTCCAAATAGATCAAACTTATTCTTTTATGGTGTAGAAAACTTACATAATTCATTTAGCCATTCCCCAATACTGGTTATTTAGGTAATAAGAATGTATTTTTACTGGGTCACTCAGAGTTTGACTAGTGAGAAAGTGAGGAATAGCTTTGAGAATCACATATATTCATCCCCAAAATTCAGAAACATTGTATCTACCTGATGACAACAGTTTGTTTTCCATTTAACTGATTTCTCTTGTAAAGCTGAGCCAGACTTGTAATTCAGAGTAATCAGCTTTGTACTCCAAATGCAGCCAGAGAAAATAAAATCATAGTAATACTTGTCAAAATGTATGAATCTCTTCTGAAATTCTAATTCCATTTCTACCAAACTGCCCTGGAAATTGTTTATATCATTTTCCAATGAGCTCAGAGCCTTAGACTACAGAATTAGTTATCTGCTTAATCCACATAACCCGTTTGAGCCCAAATATCTGAACTTCTTTAAATAAGCTACAGCATTTTCCTTTTTGAATGACGTTTAATAACCACTATGTTGATATAATGTTGATGAGAAAATGCAGTCTTGGAAACCCTGAGGATCCACCAAGCTGAACGAACTCAAAATGGTTCTTGTTACAAAAAAGGGAAGATCAGAAAATCCTTCCATCAAGTGCCCAACTGCATTAAAATAACAATTGTACACCTCCAGAGCTGGCCTTACTTTCTTCCCAATGTCGTGTGAGTTGGCTGCGGTTAAGAACACAAACGTGAAGGACCTCTCAGTCACTTCCTCTGAAATATCAGGCAGGTGGCAGACAGGCAAAGGCCCGGGCTCTGCCTATCAATGACTTCAAGAAGCTCAGCAACCCCAGCTTCTGCTCTGATTTGAATAACTTTTCATTATACTGCCTCTATTCCTGAGTTTTGACATGTCCACCCTGAACCTCTAAAGTTCCTAGCCTGTAAATGTGCCCTGATGATTCACACTGGCCGACTAGGGCTAGGACTGTGTGTTTGTTTCCTGTGTGTTTCTTTGGGAGGCGAATGAATCTCGAGGGAGATGCTTCAGGCAGCCTTGCGGGCCACGCCCGTGAGATCTCCGGATGGTGAGGCAGGGACGTGAGCATGGGCAACAGGACGAGTCACACGTGCCATCACAAATGTTCTAATATCACACCACAGGGTCAGTAAAACTAACTTTAGCAATACGTTCATTTTATCCAATATACCTAAATATTAATGATAAAAATTTTAAATGTATTGAAATTTTATATTCTTTGTTCAGAATAAGCCTTTAAAATACGTGCTGTTCACAGAGATAGCACTTATCACCTGAATTGTTATCTTTCAAGAGCTCAAAAGGTGCTTGTGGCTATCGGCTACCACACTGAATGGTACAGCACAGGGGGAAACCAGGGGCCTGGGAGCAAACACAGACCTGGGGCTGAATTCCAGGTCCATACCTCGCTATGCTGTGTGACCGTGAGTTCACACGTATGCTCTCTGAGTACTATAGCCCCAATTAGTGACAAACAGCAAAATATGACCTGCTTCACAAATGTCTTAAAAGAATTAGAGATAAGATATGCAGTGTATCTTGGCATCTGCCCCAGAACACAACTCAGCAAACTCAATAACTTTATCTTCGTAATGTGGATTGAAGAAAAAACACCATCCTAGGAAAGCTCAAAGTCAAAGTTTACAAAGTGAGAGGAGAAAGAAGAACTTCAAAAAAGTTTATCAAAATGTTTAACAATCAACTATTGCCCATGTAAACAAAACTAAATACAAACCATGTTTTCCAAAATTGAACAATGCCAAAATAAGATAATGTTAGACACGGAGATATGGTGGATTTTGTTTTTAAAGAAAATTATCTCTCTTGATTATTCTTGCTGTGCTAAGACTACTTTCTGTTTCTAAGGGAAATAAAGGGCTGCAAAGCTGACTGGAAGGTTCCTGAACGGCCTAGAAGTAACACTTCGGGATACTAAAAATATGATCAACAATGACTATATTATGCACACTGATAACTAAGCATTCACTACATAATATATAACAATCAATTTTTCCAACAACTGTTACAGGATATTATTTTTCATTCATTCATATAAGACATCAAAATACAAGGCAGAAAATACATAAAACATACCTCTGATAAAAATGTTTGAGCCGATTTCTGAGCTCCTACATGGAGCAGATATTCATATACATAGAGTGCTAACCTGAAAAATGAATAAAACATTTATTGAGATGAGGAATATTTAAAGTTCATCCTAATAATAATGCACATCTTTCCATAGCAGAAAATATTATATACACCAACCGTGACAGGAAATAAATCCTTTTATACCTTTTCAATGGAAATTTAAATATTTATATTCAGAAAGAACTTAAACTAATTAAAATAGCACAGGAATAAAAAGACAAATTGTCTGTTTTGGAAAGAAATATCTAAATATAGACTTTTCTTTTGAAACATCTCACTTATCAAAACATCATTCCCACGTGGGAATGACAGCACAAGGCTATAATCCCAGAGCTCTTGGAGGCTGAGACAGGCAGACTGCAACGAGGCAATTTAGTGACTCAGCAAGACCCTATTTCAAAATAAACAAAAAAAGTTCTCAGTGCAAAGGTCCTGGGCTCAGTCCTCAGTATAGCACCACCCCCAAAAAACCTCATTGCTTTTATTATACTTAATGTAACCAACAATTTATAACCAAACATTAATAATCTCTAAATCTTAGTGTAAGGTAAAATTTGTTAGTAAAATACATGAATTAACTTGGTTTTTACAACAAGTTTATGTCCTTCAATCTTTTTTCTCGAATGTTAATGTAAACCCTAGCTATTTGTAGAACCATATGCCAAAACTTGTGTTGAATATCCATTTTAACACTTATCTAGCTGTCTCTCATTCTCCAGGTTTGATTGTTGAATCAATTAATATTTTAGTTTTTAAGGTGTTCAAGTTCACAGCATTACGTAAACTTTAAAGATAACAGATCATAGTAAGCATGTGGGGGCTTATACTTGAAAAGTTAATATAAAGTTGCATTTAAATTTAATAGTCAAATACAGGACATTCAGTGTGTGACACACACACTACTCTCATTATCTTGTGGATTGAAAATTTTTAAGCCATACCATGTGGCTCAATTTCAGTTGAGCTGTTAAAATATTATTCACAAACCCAAATTAGTCTGAGGCAGTATTTTTAATGATATCTTGGACTGGTGCCCAGTGAGCTCACACAGTTCGGTTTTTGCTACAGTATATTTACCAACATTGAACCAGGTTTACAGTAAACAATGCTACGTAACAATAACCACAGATCTGCACAGCCGCATCACTGCCCTTGCCAAGCTGCCTCTTGATTGTTAAAGACTGATGGCGTCGGCAGCCCTGGTAACACTCTTGGTATTCGTGAAAATAAGCTACGCATTTGTCACAAGACGAAGCCTGAGCACATTCATAGCTCTGTCCACTGAGTTTTCTCCCTGTACCAAAACTGCAGATGCTTCTGACGGAGTGATTTTATTATAGTCCCTGAGCACCCTGAGAGAGGAGACACCTGTTTCGGTTGCTTACACATAGCCAGTGTATTATGAGTGCGGTTTTGAAACATCTCCTAGTCTCTTTAAAGGGACACCACTTCCCGGTCAGCGTCTCTCAACTCTTGGCCCCTCCTTAGCACACATGTGGGACACAGCTCATCACGCAGGTCCCCCGGGGAAGTGTGGCTCACCCCAGAGGACATCAGAAGGGACCGGGGATTGAAACATATCTGTGTGTAAACAAACATTCCTGCTGGTGAACCTTGTTGCACATTCTTCAAACACATATATCCCTCACGCCCTGCCTCTCCTCTGGCTCTACAGACCCTGTCACGTGATTTGCCCCCACCATAGCAATTTTATCTTGAAAAGGGTGAATTGCAAACTCTTCCCAGAGAGACCCTGATGACTCAAAGTCGTCTGCAACAGTTGCTGCCCTACTAAGAAGAAGCAGCCTCAGGTGCCGCCTTGTAGCTGATAAAACCTGGCGCTCAGGGCGTGAGACCATGGCAAAGGCCAGCAGGAAAGCTGCTCCAGCACAGGGGGATTTGAGAGCAAGAAGGCAGCAAATGGGCCCGATGCGGGCCTGTGGGGAAAAGGGCACACCCCAGAGTTCAGAGCACCCCATGACTGTGCGTCCACTTGGTTGACCCCAGCCTTGAAGTCCAGCAGTTATTTCCTGTTAACCTTAGAGTCTCCCCTTTGTAATATAATGGCGCTAATCTATTTATTTGACTTTTCCTTAACTAAATAGTAAAGGGATCTCTAATTATAATTAAAATTCAAAGAAATAACCCCACTTTTTCCTCTCTGGGGGCCTAGACAGAGGTTCCAAAAACTACTAGGAAAGGCCAGAACCAGTGGGGTACAGGGACCTCACCTCACAAAACTGGGGGATCTGCCACCCTCCCCTGGGCATGTCCCACACCCTCCTGCCCTGGAACCTATGCAGCAGCAGCTCATGGTTACCAGCAGGTAACAGAGCAAGACAGGGCTGAGAAAACTCACTAACAATGCCACGTCATCCACCCATGTTCAGAAAAAAAAACCCACGCTGCTCAGGCAGGCAGGCTCTATCCTCCAGGAAGGGCACGTGGCCAGTGTGTGGTTGAACAGCGAACTCACTCTTCCGCCATCGTTACTCCAGAACACACCAGCAAATCTCCAATACCGTATGTATCACCACCATGCAGGGAATTTTCCAAACATATCCCTTTAGCCTCTGTCCCAAGTTCCAAACCAGCTTCCCCAAATAACTGTTTGAAGTTTCTATCAAGATGTTTCCCTCTTAGATTGACTGTCAGAGTGAAATTCAGCTACCTCATCTGTTTTTATCATACCCGTGCTCACCAAGCACGAGACACAATTTATCCGAGTCCCAGTTTCCTCCTTGGTCAAATGCAAGAATAATACCTTCCTCGCATTACTGGAAGGGTTAGAAAGCCCAGTAAGTAGTAACAGCTATTGTTATGATTTCGCTCACTCACATCCAGCAACCCATTTCCACATCAAGTACTGGCTTGTAATGCATAGCCTCTCCCACTTCAACATTCCTTTCTGCCCTCAGTGCTGTTCCGAGGAGCCCACACAGTAGTAGCAGCAACTAATGCTCCCTCCCGGAAATAAGAGTGTCCAGAAAGTTCTGGAAGAAAAGCCCTGCACCAAAAGACACTGCTGAACACAAATGAGTTCAGAAAGGTGGGGTGTGGCAGTGTCCATCCATGCAGGTAATTTGCAGCATGGTTCTTACCCAGTAACATGAGGTCACAAAACCTAAGAAGGAAACGTTTCTACTTGGATTCAATTTCTACTAAACAGGAAAATTTAAAGATAAATACTGAATTTACTAATATTTAAACTACATGCTCTTAAATTAATGTTTCCTTTTTATGTTTTATGATCTCTAAAATTTTTAAGTACTTTTGGTAAAATACAGAGTGACTACTTAACCAAGTAGCTCACAATATGATCTAAATACTTTGAAAAAATTAACAACCGTGTGTTGGTTGTGAAAAACAGATTCAGTCTTATTTATTATTATTACATTGATAATTGAAAAAGTGCATCAATGATGCATGGATCATATATCTTCATTTCACTCTAATTTTAAACTGCATTACCAGAGTTATCAAAATCATAGCCAACAATTCTAGATAGGGAATCAAAGCCAGAAATACAAAATATATCTGACATAGCACACCACCTTCTTTATTCCCTGTCACTCTAGGTGCCTCGGCTTCAAAGTAAGAGCAAAGGTTGAGGTTAAAATGGGAAGACCACAGAGAATAACCAGGTCTGAGCTCACTTGGGGCTGCCCTCAAAGCAGTCGTTACATGTGACCTTTATGGACTATACCTTCAGCTACTGACACACACTCACACCAGCTAGGAGACGGGCTGGACAATCACCAATGACAAAACTCACAGTTCAAATTCTATCTATCTCTAGGGGCTGGGAATTTAGTTCAGCAGCACAGCGCCTGCCTGGCAAGTGCAAGGTTGTAACTTCGATTCCCGGTACTGGTAAAAGCCAAAAACAAAAAAAACAAAAAACAAAATTCTATCTATCTCTAGTTCTAGCAGTCAAATTTCCTCCAACTAGCCTTTATAAATTCAATCTGTAGTAATTTGAGTGTAGACAGGTCTACATCCTAATCTTTTATAAAAAAAAAAAAATCAAAGAGTAGGGGATCCCACTTAACTTTTTACTTAGCAAAGAATTCTGACAAAAATGAAGGTTTTTAGCAATACACAGTTAGAAGAGAATTAATGATACATAGAAGTAAAAAAAATACACAAAAATGTTAAATGGCTAACTGGCCATCTTAGAATCAAATAAAATTAAAAAGCAATAAAAGACTGAGCAAACAAGATACCCAATTACCTGTAATAGCATAACAAAAGGCTAATATGCTTAATACATAAAAGGATGAATAAAATGGTCCACTCCAATATGAAGATCTTAGCTTTTAAATAGTGAGCAAGGTATGACAATGAGAAGTCAAATAAGAATGCTTATAAACAGCCCTAAGGAACAATGCTCAGCGACACAGCCATAAAAAAGTAATTCAAACTTTCACTGCTCAACACGTACCTAACACTTTAGAACATTAAAGTCTCCGTGTCTGTAAGGGTGAAATATGGAAGTGTAAATGGTACCGCTTTTCAGGGAAATGATACGGCAAGGAGAAGAGGTAAGTCAGCAGGTGAAAGGTCACAAGGAGAAGAGTTTACAGTGTGTGCCCCGCACCCCTGGTCCGCCTCCCCAGAGACATTCTCTGTGTGCACACACACTCAGGCAGCGACAGGCCCCAGGCCCCCACCGTGCGACATAATCTGAGTTAATGCCATGTTTTACTGCAGGACTTTTTCTTAGGGACTGGAGGCCTTTTTATTGCATAACTTTTGATTCATTTGATTGCTTCCCTTGAGCTTATATTGTGTTCTTAAAAACAGATAAGCAAATTTTAAAAATTAAGTAAATATTTTATATTCTCTGACTCAGCAATTTTATTCTAAAATTAGAAGTCCGATTTATAATGACACCTGTGGGGAAACGACAGTGGTCGGAAACGGTCACCTAAGGATCTGGTGAGCGGGGGCTAGACTGTAATTTGCACATGGGCTGGGAAAATTTATTTTTGAAAACTGTTTGATGAAATGAAG